GGAGCTTACAAGCTTGATTGTGATTATGGTCTCTCATATATAGGGCAAACAAAGAGATCAATTAGAACCCGCGTAAAAGAACACATAGCTGACGTGAAGCATCAACGTTCCGGGAAGTCTGCAGTTTGCGATCATATTCTAGATGGCCCCAACCATTACATCAGATTTGATAGACCACAAATCCTCGCGAAAGAACATCGATTCCTACCAAGGATGATACGTGAGGCTATTGAAATTAAAAAACATCCTAATTTCAATAGAGAAGGAGGCTGGGTACTACCACCTGCTTGGGATCCTATAATTAATAAAATTAAAACTAAACCCAAGCATACACTGCAAGACTTCAAAATACAGTTAGTTCATTCTGCGTAGATCGGACCAAAAACAATAATTAAAAAGCTGAAGCTACTCCGGGTTAACTTTGATATCGGGACGTCAGTCACCTCAGTCCCCCGTGACCATGGGTGCTGGAAAGCACCCGAAACGTCGGGTATTAAAATTAATATAAATAAAACGCGATAAAATCCGTAAAAGTAGTTTTAATCAATGTATAGTGTTCGCGTAAATATAAGAAAACATTATTCAAGGAACTTAGTTCATTAAAGGATGAGTTGCCGTAATAATACTCAAAAAGTTATTGTAAGCGTGTAAAACTTCACGGTAAACTTTAATTACTCGTTAATTACTTTAATTAAGCTCAGCTCAACATTATTTAAAACTTTCTATTGTACATACATAGTTTCAAATCTTTTGTGTTAAACGCATTCAGAAATTGTAGACCATATTATTCGCGTAGTAAGGTTGTCTGAGAGAAATTCGCTTCCAGAGCGATTAGACCACCGAATGTTCATTTGTTAAGTATTTAATTTTTTGTTTTAATACATTTGCGTAATTCAATGGCTTAGCAATGAGTTACGGTGGGACTTTGTATGACCTACAAATGTATATTCTTGAAAAGATCTTTGTATAGAAATACTAGGAAAAGCTTACTTAATTCCCTTTCAACGTTTCCAATCACCCTACTTAATTTATAAGAAAAGAAATTACTTTCAGGATATTTTCTTACAGTAATATTTTGATACGTGTGTGTACTTCGAAAACTTGTTTATAAACATGGTGTTTTTTTATTGAATATGAGTGATAAAAGAACGCTCAGGCCACTTGATGGTAAGACTGTATCGAGTTAAAGAGACGATGGTTTTTTTGATGTAATTTTTCTAATAAGGTACCGCGATGCGAGTGATATATAAATTTTGTTCCATCATCTGTACTACCTATCGGAGGCAGAACCCAGCCATAGATTGGGGACTTCTGTAAAATTGTATAACGCCTTAAGCAGGAGTGCTACCGGGCCTGGGCCGACGCATCGAATTCTCGGGATGTAAATAACGTCGCTCTTAAAAGAAGTATATATTCCTCCGTGTCCTTCAAAAGTGCCATTGCCAAGGCAAAGTTAGAGCTAACCGGCAGAATTGGCGAGAAACTAGTTCTACTTCAATAAATAATTTATTACTTTGCAACTTTCCGCTAACCAATTACAATAATGTGTCTTACCGGCACCACTACTTCCAACACCACTATTCCAGGCAAGACACACCATCGACGACAATACGACGCGTGTTTCGCCTCTACACGAGGCATCATCAGGTAATGTAGACTCTACGGCGACTGACGTCACTATCAATTATATTTCTACTTCCTCCAGGAACACGTACATTTTGGTCCCTCGCCAAACCTGTCTAACGGAAATTCTCTCAGCCATCTGTCCCATCTCTCCACAGGAAGACGACACACTCGCCTATGCTGTAAAGGACAAAGCCAATCTGCTGGACTCTCTCTTTGCGTCCAACTCGACTCTTTATAACAGGGTGATCACACCGCCGACCATCCCGCGGTGAGATTTCTCTGTACAGAATGTGCTGTTTACCCCACACTCGCTGCGCAGAGCACTCCCTAGACGTCAAAAAGTTGAGTGGCATCCCCCCATATTTATATTTTATAGACCAGTTTCACCGTACAAACTCATAAAAGACAAATTTAATGCACCCGATACCTATGTAAAAAGGCGACCGCTCAGATCCGTCCAACTACAGGCCTATAGCTTTCGCCTTCATATTCTACAAATAATATAGTAATGGAAATAATTATTAACTGCCAACTCATGAGGTACTTTGAGGCCACCAACTGATTAGTGACTGCCTGCCTGTACGGCTTACATCGGAGTCGCTTAGCTAGTGATCTTCTGGATTATCTATCTCATAGATGGGCGGAGGCAGTAGCGTTCAGGCGGAATTGGCCGTTAGATCGGACATAGCGAAAGCGTTCGATCAGTTTGGTACAAAATGCTTCTTACGAGGCTTCGTTCCTGTGAGATTCCTGAGAAATTGTGTAGTTGGATTACCAGTTTACTTGCAGATCGGAGCATCAAGGTCGTAGTAGAGCGTGCAACTGCAAGACTTCAAGATACTATAAGTTCATACTGCGTAGATCGGAACAAAAATTAATAATTTGAATCTATAGTAACCGCGGTTAACTATGACATCTGAACGTTGAACATCTTAGTCCCAAGTACCTAATGTGCTCGAAACATCGGGAATATAAAAAAGTTAATATAAGCGATAATATCCGTAAAAACTAGTATTATTTAAATTAACCACCGCAAATCGCGACAAAACTTGCAAACCATCCATACCATTTGGACGAATGGCGGTCCACCACTGTGAGATTTAAAAGAAGTGTTCTTCGTCGCACAACTTATTTGTGGAATCGACTACTACCAGGGATTTTGCTGGACCAAAATGACTTGAGGACCTTCGACAAAAGAACCTATTCCTTTTTAAAATACCGGAAACGCATCTGCAAATTCCCTGGTGTTGCAATTGTTCGTGTTCGGCGGTATTCACTTACTATCAGATGATGATGATATCGCGTGTTCGTTTGCCCCACTGACCTTTATATGTACAAGGACGCTGGACAGGCTATACACCGTGACATGCTGAAGCGATTTGATTTCCGCCATTTTGGCGCTGAAAGCAGAAGTGCACGTCCACGAAACTAATAATAGGGATAAGACAGTGTACCAAATTATATCGATAAAAATTCTATACCCTATCTATACCTAAATAAATAGAATGGATTCTATGGATACATGGACTCTACCCGTAACGTCCATTCTATTTATGTATCATATTAATATAATGCCATTATCATTCACCATCATTAAAACCCTTCAAAAGTCAACTGCTGAACATAGGCCTCCCCCAAGGAATGCCACAGAGCACGGTTCTGAGCTACCTGCATCCATCAACTTCCTGCATGTCTTACGAGTTTTTGACTTCACCTAGTGGGGGAACGTCTTACACTTCACCTGCCGGTACGAGGCTCCCACTCGAGAACTTTTTTCCCCATTGGTATTCGGTTCTTCGAGCTATATGACCAGTCAATTGCCACTTCAGCTTACTAATCCATTAGGCAATGTTGGTCACTCTGGTTCTGATGCAGATATCCTCATTCCTAAGTTTGAACCCCCTGAGCATAGCCCTATTCATAGCTCACTGAGTGACTTCGAGCTTCCTCATACAGCCAGCAGTGAAAGACCTCGTCTCGGATCCATAGGTCATCACTGGCAACACGCACTGGTTGTACAATCTAGTTTTGAGGTATTCCTGATGAAAAGATGTGTTGTAATCTCCCGAACGCTGCTCAGCCGAGTTGAATCCGTCGATTGACCTGTCGGTCGAAGTTGAACTTACCTAGTCATACTATTTGTCCCAAGTAAAAATACTCTTCAACAACTTCAGCGAAGGGCTCACAAAAACCACCGGCATAGGTGTGACATGGACATTACACATGACTTTTGTTTTGTCCATGTTCATCTTAAGACCTATCCGTTGGGAGGCACTATTGAGTTCATTGAGCATAGTACTTAAGTCCTCCAGCGATTCTGCCTTAAGAACTATATTGTCGGCAAATCGAAGGTGAGTGATGTACACGCCATTGACATTAATACCGTATCCTTTCCAGTCCAGTAGCTTGAAAACGTCTTCCATTGCAGTATTTCGGGGATATTACGATACCCTGTCTTACATATCTCTACAGTTGGATTAGTTTTGTACTCTGGTTCTGTACTCCGATAGCCATCGTAGCCCTTAGACCATTCAACTAAAAATTATTAAGATTAAACTAACTACACAAAATAAAAATAAAAACATAATTTCTAAAATAATTTATTGTCAACCGTTCATTCAGTTCTAGTATTATAAAAAACAAATCAGCTGCTATAATAACGACTATTCTAATCAACTACAGGTCTGTCTATAGACAGTAAAATATTTTCTACTATATAAAAATTTATGTTTGTTCGTACTTTCTACGATATCATACCGTTCATCAGATTGCGGTCAAACTTAGTCAACTTATTGTTAGCACTTGTGCGAAGGTTATACGCATGGTACAATTAACTGTCATTAGATGGCGTGCGTATTATACCGACCATTTATTTGAAAGTGTTTCTGCCCGGGGAGCGACCGACACTCCGTGTTATAGTTCGGAGAAGTTCTATCGTCGCCTCAGTGCTTGTTTGGCCATCAGACCAATTTAGACGAAAATGACCTTTGAATGTAGTATGCTTAAGAATCAATTTCTACACAGTATAAATCAAGAATGACTCGTGTATCTATACCCATAAAATAGTAAATAAGATATTAAAAAACCAATATCCACAGTTACAATTTTAATTTTCATGCTTGTATGTCTTACCTCCACAAATGAACCAACATTCCAATAGCGAAATTCTCAGCGCGTGCTTGTTTGCCGTATATCCTCAAATCAACCAACCACAGGCCCGCTAACTCGTGACGTCACACGTCGCTGTTCCGCCATATTGTTTAGTTACAATCTATTACGACGCGTAACGGTGTTAGAACTGCAAGATTTATTAAGTTTTTCGGTGAATTTACAAGTGAAACGAGGTGCAAAGTGTCTCAATAACTTTAAAAATTATGTCGTGGACTAGTTGTAATAAACGGTATAACCGCAGCACCGCAAATTATGAAATGTAAGTTGATTTTGATTAATGTGGTATTATTTGTGTCATGTTGTATTTATTATACAGGTTGGTTCGGAATCATACTTTTGTCATACTGCCATACTCACAACGCTGAACAGTTTGTTTGTTTTTTCGAGCGGGCGAGTCTTTGGACCGGCTGGACTGATTTATACGGGATTTTCACGTATAAATAGTTAATTTGATCCTAAATAATTTAGAATATCCTTTCTCATTGGGAATTTTTATTTATCTCATGTAACGGAAACTAAGCATTTGTTTAGTCTGGTTTGTTTGATTTGTTTTTAAATTTTCGTTTAAATTTGTATAATTTAAACTAAAATTGGAATTGAAACGATTGTAACTGTGGGGTGCCAGTCATGTTCATATAATATATAAAAATTATTTTATTTTATTATACAATATTCATTTAGAATGAATTCATGTACTTACTTATTGTTTATTTGTTTGTTAAGCTTTCATGCCTAAACCGCTGACACAATTTTGATAAAATTTGATACATAGATAGATGTGACCCTGAATAAGAACAAAGGCAATTTTTTGCTCCAGGGTCCAGGAACGGGACTTACGCGGGTAAAACAGCGGGGCACCACTAGTAATACAAAAAATACAAATACAAAATAATTTATTTGACAAAGGAATCACAATAATAATAATATATTGTTATTGTGATTATTTCGTTTACCCGTAAGTAATTCTAATAGAATTACTTATGGGTAAACGAAAAAATACGCATCGAATACATAGCCTCTTCCATTTTAGAAGTCGGTTAAAATAAAAAAGAACCGTAGAATTGAAAAATTATAGGTAGATAAAATATAAAGTACTAGTTGCGCCTTGCGGTTTCACCCGCATAGTTCCTGTTTTCGTGGAATTTTCGAGAAAATGTTGTTTATGTGTTATGATATAAGCCATCCGGGTGCAAAATTACATCCAAATCCTTTCAGTAGATTTTGCGTGAAAGTGTAATAAGCATCCTTCTATCTATCCTCACAAACTTTCATATTTATATTATTATTAGGGTAAAAATAACCATTTGAAGAAGCCTCAAATGTTACCTAAACTTTAGCATAAATTTCAAATAATAAAAACTATAAATTTATTTTTCAGCGTTGACAAAGTAAAGAAGAAGTTATTCATGGCCTGTAAAGAGACCGAAAACTTTGAAGAAGGTGACAAAATACTTACCGCGGACTGCGCAGAAAATGTAATTGTTTGTAGCAACGGCAACGGACATGCTCTAAATTGTGAAGAAGAAGGCAAACAAACATTAACCGAAAAACGCGCTATAATATCGGTAAAAAAATTACATTGTTTGCCCTGACAGTTCAAAACTAGAACTAGAAAGTTCTATCATATTGATAGATAGTAATGCTGATGACGCTGCAGACGTAGAAAAAAAAACATCAAGAAAGAGAAAAAGGTGCCCTGAAAATTGGCAGAGAATTGCGAGGAAAAAAAAGAGAAGCTGGTGAAGAATATGTTAATATTAAAGGAAAAAAATGTCCAGCAAAACAGGTTCACGCTGGATGTGACGAAAAGTGCGCATACAACTGCTCAGCTAAATTTTCGGAACAAGAAAGAGAGGACTTGAAAAAAGGCATTTTATTCATTAAACGATGCCCAGAAAAACAAATATTACAATGAATTTACATGTAGAGTACGCTCAGAAAGGAAAAGAACAGAAGCAGAAGAAAGCCGAAGAAAGTTCTCATTTCAATACTTCTTTTTGAAAAATGAGCAAAAAGTCAAAGTGTGCCAGAAGTTTTTTGTGGTACTTTGGATATATCAGCAAAAAGAATCTATTATTTTTACAAAAAACTTCACAACAACCCATTGAAATTGATTCCCACACCTTCTAAAGGAAATACATAAAAAAGCAAACCGCCGAAAACAAAATAGAAGAAGTAATACAACACATAAAGTCCTTTCCCACACAAGAATCACATTTTTGTCGATCTAACACAAAACGACAGTACCTCGACAAAAATCTATCAATCTCCAAAATGTATTCATTTTATGTAGAGTTGACGAAAGAACCGGTGAAAGAAAATATTTACAGGAAAGTGTTTAACGAAAATTTTAATATAGCATTCCATCACCCAAAAAAAGACGCCTGCGATGCGTGTTCTGAATTCAAGGCGATCAAAATTCCTAATGCTGAACAAACGATAAAACACTGCGAACATATACGAAGAAAAGAGGAGGGCAATGGAGAAAGAGAAAAGGACAGAAAAATAAATGAGACAACAGCTGTTGTCACTTTTGATTTGCAAAACATTTTTTCTCTTCCAAAAGCCAACGAGTCCTGTTTTTATTGCAAGAGTAAGTTAACAGTCTACAATTTTTGTTGCCATAATGAAATTTTTACAGTCACCAGAAGCCAAACAGGTAACCGAAATAACCCAAAAATTTTCCGAACCAGGTCATGGAAATGTGCAGGAGATCGATGCAGTACACAGTCTAATTGAACGAAATCTTCGGCATCAAGAAATATTCCGCCCGTTGTCATTAATGAGAGCATTTTTAAAAATTAAATCAAAGGCTCTAACATTTAAGTTCCTCCAGATGGTCGATGACGACTTCCACTGTTACCACGAAGAAGCTGTTAAGTATGGATTTAACCAAATACCATTCTCGAAAGTAAAGGCCATTACTTACAATAAATATAAATGGAATATATTGCAATACAAAACCAGTTTCCAAGGGCCCACCACGTCCGTAGACATCAATAAAAATATATTCATATCTTAAGTGATGTAACCGTCAAGACACCAACAAGTACATTGACACAAAAAAAAAATTCAAGATATACGTAGCTCATACAAATATATGCCAGACGAGGATAAAAAGTATATGGAGACCATAATACTAAAAGCCTTGAGGAAGCCACTCGCTCAGGAAAGACAGAGAAAGGAAGAAAATCCAGAAAATACAGTGAAAGCAGGGAAGACAGAAAAAAGATGGAAATACAAGTAATTTAGGAAATACAGGAAGGGTAGGTAAGACGGGGAGAGAAAGAAATATAGGAAAAGCAGGTAAGACACAAAACGTAGGAACTACTAAAAAATCTGAAATAACGGGTAGAGTAGGAAAGTCAGAAAAAGAAGGATACACAGGAAAAGCAGGAAATAGCGGAAAACAAGAAAAAATGGAAAAACTGGAAAATCAGGAAAGATAAAATAAAAGTTAGGGACACCGACTACGAAGAAAATGTGTAGGTGGGCCGGGCCTACTACAAGTATTATAAAAGTGTAATTTTTTTTCTTACTTTCTTCCTTTAATGTTAACCTAGCGTGTAAACGACCTTGTACTTGATTTGATTTTTGAATAAATAACTTTCGGTTCTCTTACTTATTTTATTTTTAATAATTACATACTTAAAATTTTGTTTTATTACTTTGCGTCAGCAATTTTCATGTTTACAATCAACTCTATTAAAATAAAATTCCCACAGGAACTATGCACTTGTTTGTTTGTTCGGTTGCTTCGGGGTTAAAAAGATTAGTAAGGGGTTGTAGGGGGTTTGTTGGAATTCGTAAACACTTACGAATTCCAACAAACCCCCTACAAAGTTTGGCTTCTTGAGGGGTTTATAGTTGTAAGGAGGGGTTTTAGCGATTTGTAGGCGTTATACGAATTTAGTCTGGTTTATTTGTTTGGTTCGTTTGTAATGGTATCATTAAAATTAACCGCGAGTGAAACCGCAGGGCACGGTAGTATATCTATAAATTCAAAATTTAATTTTAATTCAGGCCTGTTAGATCGTAGTCAAGAGATTCAAAAAAAATTGTAATTCATTTATTAATTTTACAAATATATATATATATATATATATATATATATATATATATATATATATATATATATATATATATATATATATATACATAATTTTACATACAATAATGATCGCGCTGGATTTGTTTAATTTCACACCCTGTATTGTGAATTGAAGCTATAGGGCAAATAAGCACAAAATACTTATGGTTGCTATTTGGCTAACATCCTAAGGAATGTAGTGTATATCCAATAACGTAATTATAGTTTCGTTTTTTTGTCCAACATCCATTTTGAAACTGGTTTTACACAATGTTATAGTCAAAAGTTTTTAATTTTTACACATTATTAGAAGTCCAAATGTGCCATAGTTGTAGAAACTAACAAACATTACATCTTTATTTGAGTCATAACATAGAAAAACAATAAGACATTGCTCCTGTAAAATTACACAAATGGTCTGTTGGCCTAACAATTACTGAGGCGACGCTATATATACTGTCTATGATTCGGAATGTTAATAGCGCGATTTAGGCTTCGGTGTCTTTAGGTGTGCTAGTGGCGCGACGACAGCGCCGCTACAATGTCATACCAGAGTAATCCACCACTTTTAGTTTACAATTTATGTATGTATGTATCTCAAAGCTTCCTAGCTAAAGTGAAGATATTTTAAATAGCAACTTGTTGTAAATGTGTAATGTTGTATTTGATTCTTTCTGTTTATTGTATTTTACAACGTAAAGTCGTTAATTGGGAAATACTACTTTTATTTAAACAATTTTAGGTGATATGCACTTACCACGCGTTTGAATCAAAGGATTCGTCATGCGGTCAGCAAAGTAGTGGAATGAGTTGCTAGCATCTGTTTTTTCATCCAATTACAATGTGTCTTCAAGGCAAGAATGAATTGGCTTGTGTTAAGTCAGTCCTCGTGACCATTTTTCGCTACATCACCACATGCTACTTATCAGGTGGGATAGTATTTAAGCGCTACATAAGAATAAGTTACGTGAGGGCAATATGGTCACCTTAAGTTTTTCCGCTCTATAAAATAAAACCTAGCAGAAAGACAGAGACAAAAACACAGAGTCGTAAGCTAGAACTAATAATTTAAAGGAAAAAATCAAGCAACTTTTGGCAATAATTAGGAACACTTTGAAAAATCAACTTAAATAAAACTAATCTCACAACGGCACTGAAAATTTCGGGTATCAAGGAAGTGACACAACATTACTATTTAAAAATGTTTTTATTGCTTTTCGAAGTATTCTCCGCGAAATTTGACACATTTTTCCATACGATGGAACCAATCATTGAAGCAACCATTCTATTCGGAAGTTGGGGTTTCCAAAATGGCCGTTTTGTAGGCGTCCACAGCTTCTTCAGGTGATGAAAATCTCTATCCACGCAATTTATTATTTATTTTAGGGATTATATAAAACATTAAGGCTTAGGTCGGGGCTGTACGGCGGATGGTCTAATAATTCTATGTTTTCATGCTCTAAAAACTCTTTTGTTATGTGTGCGGTGTGAGAACTCGCATTGTCGTGATGGAGGATGATGCGGCGGTTGCAGTTCTCTTTACGGAGTTCAGAAACAACCTGTGGCAAACAAATGCTAGCATACCATTCTGCATTAACCTTTCTTTGTCCCTCAAGAGGAATAGTCGTAACATGGCCGGTTTTGGAGACAAACGTGGCCATCATTTTTTTTTGTAACACTCCGTGAACGAACAATTTCGTTGGCTTTAACTAACTTTCGAACACCCAAACTCGTGACTGGTTTTTTGTTTCGGGTTCGTACGCATTTATCCAGGATTCGTCACCTGATACGATGTTGTATACAGCATTTGAGTATCCTGCATGGAATTTTTCGAGTGTTCTGACTCACCAAGTAACGCGAGCCGCTTTTTTGCTCTTTACAGAGCGAATGCGGTATCCATCGGGAAAACAACTTTTTTTACACCTAATTGTACATGCAAGATTATTTGTATTTAACTCATGCCAATGTCTAAAATTGCCTGATTTTCGCGATATGTCACATGTCGATCTTCTTCAATCAGCTTACGCACAGCATCAACGTTTTCTTGGGTGATTGCAGTTTTTGGACGACCTTGACGGGGATCATCACTGAGCTTGACACGTTGAAATTCAGCAAACCAGCGATAAATTGTGATTTTGGATGGGGCTTCATTACCAAATGCACAAATCATCCGGTCAACACACTTTTTTGTGTTAAACCACTTTGAAAGTCATAATAAGTCATCGCTCTTGAATTTTCTCGAGTCAATTCCATTTTCACAACGACTAAACAAGTTTGACAAAACCTTGTGACAAGACCGGGAATCTTTTTTTAAATAAATAAATGGTATTCGATTTTTAAAACCAAGGAGTTTTCAATTAAAAAGATTCTAATATGACAGGAACAGTGGAATATTCCATTCCCGATACTTTTAGTGCAGCCTAGTACAACACTTAAATCGAATAAAATATTTACTATACTGTCACGGGTCAAAATGGCGTCGATAAGGCAGCTCTTTTGACCCTTTATTATTTTATTGACTGATGAAGTAAAAGAAATATTTCTTAAATATTATGTTTTAATATATTATACACAATGATCACACGATAGTGACGCGCCAGCAATCGAAATGATGAGAGTGGAATTTCGAGTTGTCTCACAGTAAAAATCGGTAAAAATGATGTAAGCACTTGCCGTGGTATATGCGATAGAAGATGCACGGAGATGCAATGTCTCTTCGCAAGGCCAATGGATAAAACCGATCGAAAAGTACTTGATCCTTGAATAATTGCTGCTGTTCACTCAGATGACATACCAGATAATTTAGAAAAAGATTGAGAACCGTTCTTTCCGCCTAGAGCTTGATCAGCACACCAAGTCACCAGCATAATATAAACAAAAAAATTCTAAGTGTTATTAATGGCTAATAAATATGGCAGTCGAAGTCAAAAGACGAATTTTTTACAGTCGCTGTTACAAATTTGTCACACTTGACTTCCATTTGTCTACCTTCTCTCCGGAGACTTCACGAAAAAATTTACGTCGTTAGTACAATGCCGAAGAGTATAACGTTTTAATACTTTTTGTGAATTCAAGCTATATTTATCTACATTTTTCCTTTCCTAAATGTTAATTTTCATTTATAATTTAAAGAAATTAAACATTTAAAAAAATAGGGACAAAAGGGGGAACCTCACTTAGGCATATTTAAAATCTTATTTTACATACTATGCTAAAAATCATGACAATATTTTAAAGCAAAACCGTTAGTGATTTGGAAATGTGTAATTAGTATACAAATTATATTAAAATTAAAATAAATTAATTTAAAATTTTACCTAACAAGAATATGCGAAACTCGTGCGAGGAGACTAAATTTACATCACTCCGTCTACATTTAGTAAATAAATCAAATATAGATAAATTAAATAATCCTTACATAAATAATACTTAACACAATTGACCTAAATATTTGAAGCCGACCGCAGATGAGATTTCTAAGGCTTCTGGATGAAGGTAAATGCGAATAAATACATAGCATATTAATCAAATTCAATTTTATCATATCTATACAAAATGAACTAACTACGGTCTAGGTTTTTAAACATTTTTCCTTAAAACACTTTCGTTATTCTAAACCTTAATGTTTATTGCAGGGTTCGAACATAAACCCTTATATTAACACCATTCTTTCATATATTATTAAGAAATCTGAAGTGATAAACGAAATTATAGTCCAATTGATGGTAATTGATACCTATTAAGGTAAGCCATGAACATCTGCAGCCAAATTCCAATACAAAAGGCTAATGATGATTTTGATGATAAAAATGATGCGAAGTCATTATTCAGGACTACATTGGAATGCTTCGTAACCATCCCTAGTCACTCTATACTATTGAGGCAGGAACACAATTATAGAATAGCTAGCACTGCTATTTGGTTTCAGAAAT